CCCCCCCCCCGCACGCCTATGTTCATGTGTAACGTTGCGTATTTTCAAATTAAAGAAAGAATTTACGAATTGAAGCTGTACTGTTGTCTGTTTATGTTTTCATAACCGTAGACGAATTATTCACATGTGCATGCCTAATTAACGCGAATTCGAAGCGACCTTTTTCCTTTGTCGGCATCCATTTTGCCACGTCTTGCTGACAGGGACGTAGCGAAGGTGTGCTAGTTGGGGGGTGCAATGCAGTAATTTACCTGATTTCACACTTGTAAAAATTTACCTGAAAATATAAACCTCCCTATCTTTGCGGACTCCAATGTTGTAGTGCATTTCTCCCCTGCACAGTTATATTTAACCCACATCTATTTTTACAACATTTTTTCTTGCTTTTTCAATCCACTTTTTCTCACTAGAATATGTTTGGGTAATTTTTGTTCTTCTAAATTAAAGAGTATAAGCCACACAAGAAGAACACGAGCATATACAAACCGAGTACCCCGACTCCGAATAGCACTCTCCACTCATTTTATCAATTAAGTAGTTAAATCTAAAATACCATAATCACATTGATTAGTTATACCTCTCGGCCTTCCAATAACTATAGTCAATTTTAAATTAACAAGTTTTTGTCCATCCAATAACTATAGTCAATTTTAACAAGCAGTCCATCCGCCCTTTTTATGTAGGGAAAAGGAACGACAATTGTGAATTGATGTAATTTATATAATAAAGATAATTTGGAGCTGAACTAGAACTGCGTTTCCCTATACAATGAACAATAATGTTACATAGTAGTTATTTGTTAACTAATGTTTTTAACCTTCAATAGTAAGTTATTGTTTTCAAGCAATCACCAATCGGCGGTTTTTCAAGATTGACCATTTTTTCGCGATCGCAGTAACATCAAAGACATCAGTGATATTTTTTTCAGCGGCAAGGATCATGCAATTATTCAAACGTTTTCCAGATGTTTTATTGCGTAAATAAATTTTTACAATCTTCAGTAAACTGAATGATTTCTCATTTTTCACAACGGCAGGGGCGGCTGTCAGAAATAGTTTATAAAGCTTTGAAGCCAACTTGAAAAGACCATGCTTTTTGGCCACTTTAAGAGCGATGTTTGCAGCGATCGTACATGACATGGGTTTTGCCTCAAGACCTTGTGACTGACGTTCTTCTTCCATTCGTCTGTGTTCCTTCAGCGCATATTTAAAGAAAACGGACAATTCGCTGTGTAACTGCTTCATGGGCTTTGTTCCTGGTGTTTCTGGATGCAATACCTTTAGGAACGGATTAAAAGTTTCCTTAAGACCAATTTGTTTCTCCATTAATCCTCGTTTTTGTTTGCCCCAAAATCACAAAAAGTCACATACTTAGGTTAATAACATCAAGTCTCAAGACGTTGTTCACTGTGTAATAAATAATGCATAAAGATTATACACGTATAATTTAGAGAACAGTAATGCTAGGACAATGCCCTCGTAATTGTTCATTCAACCTAAACTATTCAACAATGTTACAAATCTACGAGACAAATCTGACTTTAGATATTACTTAAGCCGGTTTTCCACTTCGCCCGTACCGTACCGTACCGTATCGTAGCGAAAACGTTTTTAAATTTCAAAATTTCGTGAATGTTGATTGGTTAGTACTTCCGTAGTACGCCAAAAAGTTGACTTGCGACGAACTTTTTATTTTGATACGCGAATACACCCGGAAGTACGTGGATCTATAAACCTCTTTTCAATCTGCGCATGCTCACCAGTACGTTTCGCTACGATACGGGCGAAGTGGAAAACCGGCTTTAGACGAATATTGCGTACATATATCGGCCATTTGTGTAGAATTATTAACGAACTACTATATAAGTAAAAATATGACAAAGTAGACGGCACACGATACACATCACACATGTGCATCACACATACAGACGTTCAAAATTTACATCCGGATATCATATCCCTGTTGCAGTATTAATCTAAGCCAAAACAAATAATTCTATGTATTTCAAATACACTGTATTATTATCAAAAAGTAGATTAAATTAATATAATTTCTTGCACGTACCTTGACCTTGTGTGTAGAGCCAAAACCGGAAGCGCATGTTACTTAGCGAAAAAATTCTGGGTTCTTTTTGCCAATGGAAATAGTAAAATAGACAACATATTCTTTTCGTAAAATAAAGCCTGATACGTTGAAAAAACGGAAACCTCTGAACGTATCAACGTATGAAGCCATGAAGAATTAAAACCTCATCTATTTTCCGCATTTCAATCCTCTATTATTTGCCTGTTTTCGTTATGGGTTTTCAAGATATTTTACCTGATTTATTAATGCCTGTTTTTCATGGATTTACCTGAAATTTTCAAATCGTCTTAGTTGGGGGGGGGGGGGGGGGGAGGGTTCCGTTGCACTCTATAAGATGGTGCCACTTGCAAGGACTGGATAGTGTAATATTCAACGGTAACGTTTTGAATGCGTTTTTTTATAAAACTTATATAGCTTACTTAATCTAGCTGTAGAAATACTTGTGCTGACGAAAGACGACATCAAGTACTCTAATTATTTACATACTGTAAAATGCAATGATATACCTAGCCTGCGAAATAGCTGGTCCGATTTTCTCGTTCCTCGATCATACCAATCTCGTACCCAAAGCAATGCCTGTGCGCGGGCTAGGATGGCATTGGCTCTGGGGAAATTGACGATTGATAAACGTTAAACCAATCACAGCACAGGAAAAATTCAATTTCCCCAGAGCCAATGCCATCCTAGCCCGCGCACATGCATTGCTCTGGGTACGAGATTGCGATCATACGAGCATCTGCGTAATAAGTCCAGTAGGTCCCTGAATCTGGGCATCGCTTTTTATTGGCTAGTTTATATAATTCTCGCACAAATTATACCGGAGAGGGATAATTAACATATCAACAAATTGCATGCTACCGGGAGGGAACACTTCCGCGTGTATAAGGGCCTGTTCATATGATCCCGCTTACCGGGACGTCTCGCTTACCGATGATCTCGCCGCCTATCTATTTTCCTATAAAATTTTGCATTGTGTTCATATGGGAAAGCGAGCTGGCCCGCTTGCCGAGATCTCGTTTGAATTTGCCGAGATCATACGTAGGCGGGATGAAAATTTTTCCATATGAACACGCCAGCCCGCTTACCGGGATGAAGTGAAACAAGTCTTGCCGGTTTAATTTAACACTTTTTACTCGGTTTTATGTTTGTTTTGTAAACAAGTATTAAATAACCACCTGAAGCAATACTTTTTCTTGTAAATAAACGAAGAAAAACACTAAAATCGCCAAGTATTTGTGTTGCTTGACTGAAATGTAGAAGTTTTGCATACGCTAATTATAGAACTACATTGTAATTTCATCTCGGCAAGCGGGACGAAATACTCCATATGAACGCACGGAAATATTCATCTCGGTAAGCGAGACGTCCCGGCAAGCGGGATCATATGAACAGGCCCTAAGAAATATCGCTTCTTTTATGCATTTTCCAAGAGGCTGAGATGTACAGTAGAAGTCGGTGCGAACGTGGACAAGAAAATTTGTGGGGAAAACCTCGACAGAGGAGCGAAAACGTATTTCCAACAGTTTTTGTTGTTCCAAATCATTGATCATTATAAGGACCAAGACAGGTCCTAGCTTAGTCCATGCATGAGGTACACCATCACTGACAGACACCCATGCATCTATTTTTACAAGTAAAAATACCTGAATCCGGTCGCTCTCTACCCCCACGGAAAAGTTTATATTCTGTCAATTCCACATAGCTGAACAACAGCAATCTAATTATTCTTAAAACTGCTGATAATAGTATAATCAAATTAGCACTAACCAATTAGAAGACAGATTGAATTTTTTTATCTGATTGACCAGTCGGGTGAAAAGCCAGATTTGTGCTTTTTTACATGCTCCCAGACAGGGATTTATGTCAGGCCCTCTTCTCTTCCATCCACCCGCATTTAAGAAAGGATACTCAGACTAGAATTTGTGGCAATTGCAACAAACGAAAAATGAGATATTCTTTTTAAATTAAGGATTCATTGTGCACGACAAGTAATTAAATGAGCAACAATACATACATTCTTGTAGGTAAGGAGTCTGAAAAAGGCGTCCAATAGCATGCTGACTTTAAAAGGTTGAGAACAAATATATTTTGAGGACACAATTTCTTCGCTCCATTTTCGCTCCGATTTCACCGAAAAACATAATTTAGAGCTAAAAAATTTCCCTTTTCGAAACACTGATATTTTATGCTTAATGTACACTGTCAGCAAGTTTTCATAGAATAAAATGAGAACTACTATAGGATAATATTTATTATTATTTATTGGAAATTGTACAAGAGTTTTGATTGGCTAAGAGCTGTTGGTGAAATCGTCATATCCCCTCGGTAACTGCCCAAATTTGGGGTTATGATATCACCGTGGAATATTGAAAACAAATATACCACATTTGACGTAATTTCGTGGTATATTCAAAAACAATGTAACACGTTATGACGTCACGCCGATTTATGCCGCCTATGCTTCCGAACACTATATTGTTCTTCTCCAGTCCGAAATCGTTACAAATAAATAATAAAACAGTTATTGAATTCGGTTCACGCAGGATATGAGGTATTATTAAGGCCTCGGTTTGTGTTATCTCGTGTTGATGTAACTGTAATCAACTCGGAAAACGTTTTATATTTGCAGTACGTTTGAATACCAATAACATTTAGTATTCATAAACATGCAAAATAATTACTTTCGTGTCAAAATGTCTTTCACCAGGGAAGAAAATCTCCTTGAAATTTCCTTGAGACGATCAGCAGCTCCTCATGAAACAACGTTGACGCGCATAGTCAAAGATAGCGCGCGCGTCAACGTTGGCCTAAATCTGATGGGGCATTACAATGCTTACACTGACGACATGATAGACATTTGGCAAAATTATCTTTCTTCATTATCTTGTTGTACGCAGAATCGAGATCCTCCATTTTGACTTCCTGATTAAATTCTTTTGTACCTACAAAATTTGACGTATAGAATTGACCTGGAAGACTTTAATTTCTGGTCAGGAAGATATGTGGTAATGAAACAAATTCTGGAATCATTACAACTAGAAATATGGCAAATGCGAGACCCATTGTCTGCCTATTATTGTTTCTACAATGCTCAAATTTCTTACTGAACGCAATAACTTTCACCTCCGTGGAGGTACAGAAGTTTTAAACGCGCGTGAGCGAAAGTAGACAAGAGAAAAGATGCACAACGCCGTACTGACATACTTCGAGGTAAGCCACCAGCGAGGAAGGGTGTGTCGTAGGCGCACTTAATAAGGACTAAACTCAAATGGCCTAACTGGACAATTCGGCCCTAACCCAGTGGTGCAACCGTTAATGGATAATGCTTCGTAATTGTTACCTGAATGGCGACATGCCTTTGTTATATTTAGCAATAGTCGCGCAAAGTGGAGTCCAAGCATGTATATTGGAAAATGATTACTATTCCACACCTTTGTCACCTACTGGATTCTTGGAGTGGTAATATTGCCACGTTACACCGAGGAAAACTAAAAAACCCAGCATCCCAGAAAGCGTGATAATAATGCCATCATGCATAATATTTTCTGGTTCTACGCTTTTTGTTTGACTCCATTCGTTTGACATCTCCATTTTGACTTTCTAAAATAAGAAAAACTAATGTATTTATCTGTACACATGAACGGTTCTACTTGAAGCTCAGGGTGATTAGGATAGCTGTTCTCGTGTGAGATATTTCACAATTTCCAGACCGCGCAAGCAAAAAAGTCTGCCCACCGTGACTGGGTTTCGAATATATATATATATATATAAATATAAATATAAAATATAAAAATAAATAATAAATATATAAATATAAATATAAATATAAAAATAAATATATATAAATATAAATAAATATATATATATATATATATATATATATATATATATATATATATATATATATATATATATATATATATATATATATATATATATATATATATATATATATACAAACATGACAGCGAACTTAAAGCCATGAGTAACAATGATTTTGAAATCCTAGTTCACTTATGCTTAGAGAGTGATAGTATATTAATTGACGGTAAAGGTTTTAAACAACAATCTGGCTTAGCCGTGGGCAACAATCTTGCACCTGTACTTGCAATATATACATGAATGAAATTGATCAGCAAATTACCACCATAACTAATGGCCTAGTTATATTGAAACGTTACATTGATGATTATTTTGCATTTATGTTATCGAGACAAATAACTGGAGATAGACTCCTGACGATTCAGTGCTAATAGCATAAATGAAGCCATTAAATTTACCATCGAATTACCAAACGAAGGGCAATTGCCATTTCTAGATACTATGGTTACATTCAACCCTGAAACGAATAACTTTTCCACCCAGCTGTACATAAAACCTATCCACAGCAATTGCATCGTTCCATGGGACAGTCACGGATCCCTCGCATCTAAACGAGCCATTTTAATCGGCGAAATAAACCGTGCCGTTTCTCGCTCAACAGATGATAATAATAAAAAAGAATCCTTGCGTAAACTAACCCAAGTGTTTGCTAGAAATGGCTACCCCAAATCGTTTGTTGGAGCCTCCGTTCAACGTGTATTACACAATCAACCGAGAATTAACGATCAGGAGAATTGCATTTATATTAAGCTACCC